GGAGGGAGCGTCTCGTCCCCAGCGCTGCTTTGCCCAGGGCAGTGATGCCCCTTGTCAGGCAGCGGGTGCCATGGGTGATAGGCTTGGGGCAAAAATCCTTCCCCACCAGCCCCATGGACAAGCGGATGCGTTGGAAGCGTTGCAGGTGTTCGGTTCTTGGGGGTATGACCCCCCCCCGCTTGGGGGAATACGTGGGGAAGACGAGCCGGAGGGAGCGTCTCGTCCCCAGCGCTGCTTTGCCCAGGGCAGTGATGCCCCTTGTCAGGCAGCGGGTGCCATGGGTGATAGGCTTGGGGCAAAAATCCTTCCCCACCAGCCCCTCGGACATCCTTCCCCACGGATGTCCTTCCCCATGGACGTCCTTCCTCGCGGACGTCCATCCCTGCTGGCCCCATGGATGTCCTCCCCCACAGACCTCCTTCCCCACCGACGTCCTTCCCCACCAGCCCCATGGACATCCTTCCCCACAGACATGCATCCCTGCTGGCCCCATGGGCATCCTTCCCTGTGGACGGACATCCATCCCTGCTCGCCCCATGTATGCCCTTCCTCACAGACGTCCATCCCTGCTGGCCCCATGGATGTCCTCCCCCACAGACCTCCTTCCCCAGAGACGTGCATCCCTGCTGGCCCCACGGACATCCTTCCCTGCGGACAGCCATCCTTGCTGGCCCCACAGATGTCCTTTTCCATGGACATCCCTCCCTGCTGGTCCTGTGGATGTCCATCCCCATGGATGTCCTTCCCCACCAGCCCTGTGGACGTTACAGCGCCCCCGGGAGCGTTTTGGCAGCCAACGCATGGCCAAACCCACTGCTTTTCCCGCGCCGCGGGGTGTTTTGTTGCCTGTTCCGGGGATGGTCGAGGCCGGTGCTTTCCAAGACGGGTCTGAAAGTCATTTCGGTCCCAATCGGTCGCTGCGGGAGGTTTTTATCGGGATCGGAGCTCGGGGCAGAGGGGGTCCGGCCAGGCCGGGTCGCTCGCTGCCGAAAGCCCCGTTCCCGCC